CCCCCCCCCCCGAAATTAGCGAGCTCACTCCTACCCCTACCTCCGAAAATAGCGAGACCAAGGCTCAAAGAATATTTATTTTTCTAATAGTCAAGTGAAAGAGCTGATAATTATGATGAAGTCACACTACAACAAGGGAAGGTATCGCTTATGCCACGAAGTGTGAAAAGTCACTTCGTGCGTCAATTCATGTTGCGCCGTTTTAAAACAAAACCATTTTCTCTTGAACAAAACCCATGGAATTTCATCAAGTAATAGGAACGTACTAAAGAAGAACTTTTCTTTAAACTAAAATTGAAAACTCTGTCTGTTTCTGTCTCTGTGTCTGTTTTCAACAGGAGCGTATTTAAAGGCGAACGTTTCTTTAAATTAAAATTGATAACTCGACTGGCGCACTGAGATATTGATACAGTACACTAACGTAACAATGCGTCCTGAAATAGAAACTGCCGACCAATGACAACACGGTCTAGAAGAAAAGCCTCCATGTGGCAGCAGCATAACATTTAAACTGGAACGAAGAATTTTGCGTCATGTCTAAGAATTGTTTTACGAATTTCCGTCTTTTGTTTCGTTAAAAGAGCTCAGTCGCGCTAACTTTATGTAACGTTTTTTGCTCCCCGAAAGTAACGAGCCCCAAAGGCTGCTAATTCCGAAAGTAACGAGGGTCGTTACTTTCGGGAATTTAGGGTGTGTCTCTCAGTATTCAGATACTGACCTCTCACCACAAGGCAGAGACCACAAGGGAAACACATTTTGTAACAAAACACGCGTGTGGAACGATTATGAGCTATCACAAGGAAAATAGTTTACAGTCAATAAATAAACCAGCTAATTAACTGAAAAAAGGTTGTTACATCCTAGTGGATGTTAAATGTAAGTCAAAACATTTTGGGTTCTTGTTTTTGAAAGTATTTTAACGCTTAATAAATGATTGCCGCCTTCTTAGAACTCTCGCTTCCCGCCCTTTCCTCTACTGCCTCCCGCCCCCTATTCTCCAGGGCTACGGTTCCCCCTGTCCTCCCCGCTCCCCCACATCCTGTCACTGGAAATGACTTATTCTACTCACTGAAATATATTGCGCTTGGTTTTCCAATGGACAAACAGTTAAATACAGTAGTTAAAAACACGGTTTTTATTTAAAAAGGTCACTGCAAGGTCTGCGCGCGTTCGTCAAACACAGTATTGGTGTTACCACCCGAAAATAAAATTCATATCTTTGCGCCGCTGTGTAATATCCTCTTCATGATAAAGCTAGATACAAATTCACCAAAAATTACCCTAAAAAGTGGTATACTAAAGAAAAATATCTGTAAATTACGGTTAAAAGGCAGCCATGATAATCAATCAATCAGTTAATCAAATCAATCAATGGCTTTATTAACGTGGTCAGTACGCTTAGCTGCAAGCTAGTTTCCAGGTACGCCAAGAAATAATAAAGATAAAAATAAAAAGTTAAAAAACTTCATTGGAAGTGTATAAAGTTAAGATAAACTACAATTAAAAATGAATCACAAATTAAGATGGTTTAGTTACAATATATGTCTAACTGAACTAAGTGTAAAATGTAAAATTGTCATAACCGTTGTCACACATTTCACTCACTCATAGTCCCGTGAGATTTATTGTTTTTAAATTGTTCTCAAAAGCCATGTGTTTGAATCTTCCTGGTTTCGTCTGGTATAGAATTCCACAATTTCGATGCAGTGTATCTCTATATTATGATAATAAAATGCCTTTTTCGTTCATTCAAATATTATAGCAGCAGTTTAAGGTGGTTACCTTGCTTTGTCATCCTATTTAAAATTTCTATATTATATCTCTATTGTATCAACAATCCTCGGTATCTGGGGGTTCGTTCAATCAAGGTTTCATGGTACATGTAGCTCTAAACAAATCATTACTTACAAACTGCTTTGCAGGATGAGATAGATTAGATTTTAATGAGAGATATTTAGTATAATTTAGAAGTGTATATGACAGATATTTTTTTAAAATTTGCTTGATGGAATCTACTTGAGATCATGATATGGAAAGCGAAAAAAACAAAAAAAAATGCGGGTATCGTTTTTTCCTTTCCGTGCTTTAGCCATCTGAATTTCACTTCCAGTTGGGTTAGAAACCGCGGGGGCTTGGGACTTGTCAGGCCGTGACATCAAAACAAGAATGTAGGTCTACATATCTTTCGTCGAAACACGATTTTTAACCAATCAGCGCGCGCATTTTCTTAGGGCTCTTTCCCAAATCTTTCGTAATGTTTTACAATTTTGATCCAAAATTGTGTCTAATTCCTAATATATTTCACTTACTTTTTTCGTGTCTATTGTTTGGTTAGAAAGATATCTCTACCTACGTTTATGTTTTGACGTCACGGACTAACTAGGTCCGGGCCTCGCGGTTTCTGACCCAACCCAGAAGTGTTTTCAGATGGGTAAAACGTGGTGAAGAAACAACGATGTCCATTTTTTTTCGATTTCCATACCACGATCTCATGTAGATTCCATCAAGCAAATGAAAAAAAGATATCTGATATATACACTTTAAAATATACTGAATATCTATCTCACAAGGAAGATATAATATTATTATTTTCGAATAAAATGTGATATTTTTTGAAATACCCATCAGGGATCTACTTACAATAATCAGAAAAATTTCTCTGTTGATTATTTTAAACTATCTCTCTACAGCTATGTAATAAACATATCATAATTAATCGTCAAAGATTACAAAAAAGGCACGTAATGACATTTTTGTTAAAAAAATTAAGTTACTTTTTAAACTGTCTTTGCCACTGGTTTGTATATCCTCGTCTTGTAAAAAACGAAACACAAAAACAGACAAATTTATTTCAGTCGTTGAAACGTGTCAGATTTGGTTTGTCCCGGTCAGAACAGTAATCTTCCTACAGTCATATATCGATAAAAAGTGTTTCTCCTTAAAATAGGTCTAGCAAACACGAGACACAAGAAACCCTCAGACAGAAAGGCCAGTTCAAAAATAGTCCATGGCCACTACCACACGGCTTGTCGACTTTTTATTGTTACTCCTCAGACAAGTAAAAAAATTATGAAGAAATGACGTATTTTGGAAAGGCCCTCTTAATACTTAAAGTACACCGTTCCCAATTCATTGTTTCTCGTCTTTTATGTCATAGACCCTTTTCATAAAAGCCTACCAATGAAATAAAATGATGTCTGACTGCGCGACTCACTGACCGACTTGCGGACCTAACCTTTAAATTAGGAATCATATATGCTGACCTAACCTTTAAATTAGGAATCATGTAACTGTTGAGATAACTCTTTAACAATCTGCAAAATTTGAACAAGTACTAAAGGAGTCCAGGTATGCTTGGATTGTCTTGTAACACAGCTCGTAGCGATCCTGCAAAACGGAAAAATGGGCAATGAGCCAAGGACATAGAAAACGTTCAGTTGTAAATATCATCGAGATGTTCCCGTTGATGTTTATTGCTGTTTCTTGTTTGTGTTATATTCGAAACCATGTATATCGGTAGACTGGTATAGCATCAGCATGTTACGCAGGTTACTCATTGGGGGTTTCGTCCACGCAAGAGTGGATAACCTAAGTAAACGATTGTTCATTTACACTGGCTTCTTCCAAAGAAACACCTTGAAAATGTGCTCGAAACCGCTACGTTTGTAGTACACTAATGCCTGATTTGTTAAATCTGACACATAACTGCAGACAGTGAGGTTGTTTTTGTTATTTTACGCTCCTGCTCTGTCCCTTTTGTAGACTTTGAGTTAACACGTCCTCTCACGGGGTTAGTCCTTGTGGGCGAGCGCGAAAATGACCTCGTACGAGGTGAGAGAACAGAGCGCTTGGACCTTCCCAGAAATATAACACAGCGAACCATCGACGATAGAAAAGCCACTGTATCTTTGGTTAGCACAGTGATAAACAAAAGCTGACCAAGATGTTCATAAACTTGCAAAAACAAGCAAAAAATGCAAAAATTACTGAAAGACTGAATGCTAGACGTTTCGGAGTCATCATGACGCCATTACCTGAAACGTCGGGTCTTAAATCTTTAAGTAATTTTTGCATGTCTTTGCTTTAGCAACTCTCTTTTGATCCAAAAAAAAAAAAATGATGCAGATTTTCAAAATCACGGACCGAATGTCAATGAGGTAGTTGAATCAAGTATTTGGTTCTAAATACATGTAACTCATGAATACTTGGCAACTGCGCGTTTTGAACCATATAACACTTAATAACTAATAAACGTTTTTGCTTAACGGAAAACGTTTTTCAGTTGTACAATGCTTCAACAATAAAATCGGCGAGCCTAGTTCGTGAGCATGTTATCAGCCTGTGATAACAAGTTCAGACCGCTCAGGGAACCAATCAGAATGATGATTAACCAATGATTATTGGCCAGTTTGCTATATGATTATTGGCCAGTTTGCTCCATAATAAAGAATGCTATCGTGTAGATTATTCTGCACGCAGTCTCTGATTGGTTTAAAAACACGTTCTATCACAGCATGAAATAATATCAAATCGGTGTTCCGCGCACCTTAAATCTAGATCATAAAGCAAATAAGAAAAAAAAAGTACTATACTGTCATAAAAACACGCCGGTTTAATATTTGAGCACAATTAACAAATTTCTTTATCCTCCCGTTTTCTCAGTTCTATTCACCACGATAATTCAGGCACGAAAAACGATTTTTTTCGGTCATTGTTTCAATTAGGTTTGAAATCATACAGATTACTATGAATAACGATACGACAATAAGCATCCCTCAGTATTGACTAACTTACCAAAGTGTCAACAGCACCAGGTCTCCTGGCTCGAATCAGTTTAACAGTCTGAAACACATCAACTGTTTGTTCAGTCTTGATTCGTTCTATCACTGACATTATGGTGGACACACAGCCACTGCGACCAACTCCATCACTGAGCAAAGGGAAACAAAAACTCCGTTTAATGATTTAGGAAAAAAAAGTTATATTTTAAGGTATTTAATCTTAATATTTTTTTCTCTTTAGAGCTATGCAATTTCACTTTTAAAGTTTTCTCTATTTTTTTCTCATTATGAAATTTTTGGGAAGCGCTGTAGCCTCATGGTTAGCGTGCTCGTCTCCGGATCGAGCGGTCCTGGTTCAAGCCCTGGCCGAGGACATTGCGTTGTGCTCTTGGACAAGACACTTTACTCTAACGATGCCTCTCTTCACCCAGGTGTATAAATGGGTACCGGTGTATGTAATGCTGGGGTAACCCTGTGATGGTCGAGCATCCCATCCAGGGGGCAGTAAAAATACTCCTAGTCGCTTCATGCTACAGAAACCGGGATAAGCTCCGGCCTGATGGACCCCTTGGTTCGTATGCAGACTTTGCCTACTTACATATGATCTTTTAGTGGCTTTTATGGTTAAGCACTAGAAAATTAGCAGATTTGGTACTATATAAATAATCCGCTACTCACCTGCACTGAAAAACAATAATGCCATTTCCTGTTTGTTGCTGGGACCGTTGTATAGCAGCCAGCAAGTCGAGTATTTCCTTAGGATCTGGGCACGACTCAGGGTTGGACCATCCAGTGAAGTGTAAGTGCTGCACAGTTGACTGTTTTCTTGGTCGCTAAGGATTGTAAATTGAGCAACATTGCAGATATGGCTAGAAACAGGAGCCAATGGACAATACCCTTGCATCGGTTTAATAAGTCTTAAGGAAAATGAGACAGAAAAATAATACAGCATCCATTTATATTGTTAAAGAGCCGGAGCGTACAACCAAGATGATTTGAACGACTGCCTAGAGAACGTTATCTTTATCAGTTAATCTTGAGAGCTGTCTAGAGCTGTATTCAAAACTGTTACAGGATAATCTGTTCACCTTCAAATTTAGAATGGTGCAAATAACGTTTCCTTAGTAACCTTATATTTCTGCAGCAAAAATTGGTTCCTAATTTGGGGGCGAGGTAAGTGGACAAATGTAATGAATTTTAAGGGTTTATTTTAACCGTTGTTTTTCCACCATCCCTCCCACCACCTTCCTTCCATCCAAATTATAAATTCCAATTCAGGACATCAAGGGATTGACGCTTTATTAGTTTAATCCCCGCTCACCCCTAATGGTCCTGTCCATCTCACCTTTGTATTTGACACACTAAACCTCCTAGTCGTGATGCTCTTTGAAGCGTTTTCCGACATTTTCTGTAAAGTAATGCTACCATATTGTGCGGATCCTTCAGTAGGCCAGTACGGCGGGTAACTCTACAGAGAGAACGTAAAAGTTCTTATATTTGTATGTCATTTTTACATAG